AAAAAAAAAAAAAGAAAGTGTGTGAGAAATATATTAAAAGGCCAGTGAGAGGCATTCTAAGAATGTTAGGTAAACTGAAAAAGAAGAATCATGTTAATAATAGTTCCTGACTTTACTATAATTCTTTTGGGATTTAGTAATCTAGAAAAGAGAAGCCCACAAAATGTGATTTTTTTTTTTTTGAGTTGGAGTCTCACTGTCGCTCAGGCTGGAGTGCAGTGGCACACTCACAGCCACCGCAGCCTCAACCTGCTGGGCTCAGGCGATCCTTCCTCCTCAGCCTTCCAAGTAGCTGGAACTACAAGCACACGCCACCATGCCTGGCTAATTTTTTTATTTATTGTAGAGACGAGATCTCGCCAGGTTGCCCAGGCTGGTCTCAAACTCCAGGGCTCAGGCAGTCCTCTTGCCTCAGCCTCCCAAAGTGCTGGGATTACAGGCGTAAGCCACTGTGCCCGGCTTACGTGGCTTACATTTGTTTTCTACTTACACACTTTTCCGGTTCCTAATCAGAGAACATTGTGGCTACCAAATCAGTATTATAATTCAGTTATCTTGTATGACGTTTGTCCTATGATTAAATTGAAAAAAACAAGTATCTTTGAATCTGCTGGTGTGTGTTTGTTTATAAGTGGTCTGGAGTCTTGCCTGTCAGCCTAATTTTAGGTAGTCTGCATAGTTGTTGGAAGGGAGACTATTTTCCCACTGAATGTTGCCATACAGATATATATTTGTGTATGTGTATTTATACATATTTGTCTTTTATTTTTGGTAGAAAATGATGCATCCTGTTGCCAGCAGTAATCCAGCTTTCTGTGGCCCTGGCAAGCCTTCCTGCCTCAATGAAGATGCCATGAGAGCAACTGATCAGTTTGACATATATTCCTCCCAGCAAAGCAAATACAGCCACACAGTCAGCCACAAGCCAATGGTTTGTCAGAGGCAAGACCCACTAAATGAAACACATTTGCAGCCTACAAGTGGCAGAAGCATAGAGATAAAAGATGAACTAAAGAAAAAGAAAAATCTCAACCGATCTGGTAAGCGTGGCCGGCCTTCGGGAACCACCAAATCAGCAGGATACCGGACCAGCACAGGCAGACCTCTGGGAACCACCAAAGCAGCAGGATTTAAGACAAGTCCAGGCAGACCTTTGGGTACAACTAAAGCTGCGGGATATAAAGTCAGCCCAGGGAGACCTCCAGGTAGCATTAAAGCTCTATCCCGTCTTGCCGATCTTGGTTATGGCTGTGGCACTGCTGCTTTTCCTTACCCTATGATGCATGGCAGAGCAGTTCACGGGGTAGAGGAAACCAGTGGTGAAGTTAAGCCACCCAATGAGTGAATGAGGCAGGAGAGGAGGGCCAGGTTTAGAAGGAAGATTGAATAATCCCAAAGCTTCTTGGTTTTATTTTGACATACATAATTTTATGGCCTGGGCTTTCCAAATTTCTTTTCCCATTTGATTTTTTTTTTTCCTGCTTTTGCTCAGAAAATGCCATATGTTGACATATATGTTCAGGGCATGAGCAGTGGCATTGTATTTGTACATAGGTTCAAGTGTAACACTTAACAGTCATTTTTACTTTAGAGTTAAGGTCATGTCTCATGTTTTGTTACTACTTTTAGGCCATTCTAAATAGATGCTTTATGTGCTAAACATCTGATTATATCTATTAATTTGTGAAGTAAGCTTACAATATAATAAAGATACTATCTAACGTATTTTTAATTGATTGAGCGAAAAAGCAAACTAACAATTCAGGATTACTTGATAATGGCTGTATGAGTTTTCGAAACATTTATTTTCACAAGACAGGACACAGATATTTGTATGCTTTAGCATTTACATAGACTTCAGATGTTTAAAAACTTATTTTTTAATGTTCTAGATTTAAGCAGCTGCTTATTTATTGATTTACATGGCATTAATTAATTTAACCATATTCCTAAAATAATTCTTTAGTGTTTGCCTTTGAACAGTGATAGGTTGTGTATTTTTTAATTGCCTAAAAGCATATATACCAAACACTACAAACAATTCATATTTACAAAAATTTTAAACTATTTTATTAAAACTACATATTACATTTTTGGTGAAATACAATGCATTCTGGAGAATAGCATATTCCGTATCATAAAAGAAACATTCTCAAGGTCTGCATGTAGCTATAGTCACTACATTTTACCTTTCAAGTACTTAGTGAGTTTTAAAGTATTATGTTTAAAACAATTTATTAGTGTTTTCATTTATTTGGAATGTTATTAGCTTTTCTGAAATTGTCTCATTGCATTAGCACTTCCTGTGTTTTCAGGTTTATATCTACCAAAGGATACAAATTGAATGGTAGACGGTAAAACTGGTATAAACAGAATGCAGTTTCCTGTCAGTACCCAAATATTAAAGAATATATAGGAATCCATCTATGCATGAAATATGTAAAAAATATGTTGGTCAGTTTAATTAAAAATCTTATTGTGGCTCCAGTGAGACCATTTCATCCAAAAGAAATTTTTTCCCCCAGCAATGTTTGCTTTAGAAGTAAGATAGAACAGGAAAAAAATTACTGGGTAGATATGTACAGTAGGAACGAGGGAAATCTCGCTTCTTTCCTTTTTGAAAGTAATATTCCTTGTTACACTTTATTTATTCTTAGTTTGTTCTAAATAAAATACTATAAACTTTGGACTTGAAAAAATTCCACTGAACTTTAAATTAAAGTTACAATGTTTGTACTTAAGATTTTAAATGCCTTTGAGATTAAAATGTAGATTTGCAGGACCCAAAAACTTTTAAAATAACTAAAATTTTAAAAGGGCGCATATTGTGTTGTTTGGGCTTGCTCTCAGTTAATGCAAACTCTGCAAATGGATGTCATGTTTCGTACCTTTTTTATCAGGAAAAAAGCAGCAAGCCTTCAGGTGTTCCAGTGATGCCTGACACAATGAGCTGGACTTTATGCTGCTCTTTACAGTAAGAGGTGTTGCATTGTATGTGGGGACTGTGTGTGCACTGGCATCTAAGACAGTGACCTCAACAATACTAGCTTTGCACAAACCATAGAGAACAATGTTGGATGACTACATAATCAGTTGTAACATTCTGGCAGCTAAATTGCTATAAGAGCTTCTTGCAGAAGCTTAAAATATAAAACTTTTAATAATTTACTCAGAACAGTATAACTTCTGACACACACAAATGCTTGCATCTTTATTCATATGTTCATCATCTACTTTTTTATATGTCTACTTTATATGTCTGTCATTTTACTGTTTTTCAAGATGATGTTCAGCAGTTGGCTGCTTCGAAATCTCTACTTTGAGCTAATTCCTGAAGGCAGTTGTTTAACTGAATGTTAGAATAATATACACCATTGTCAAGGATTTGATTGGATGTTGTGCTTTTATAAGTTAATTTGATATTTCCCTTTCAGTTTATTTTCATTCCTGATTTTGTTATACATACCCTTCTTTTTCTCCCCTGCCCTCTCCTACATATATTCATTCCCCTTCCTCCACCCTTCAGCACATCTTCTCAGTGGTGCTGTGCTGTGTGTCAGAATATAAAGCAGGTGTATTATTGTGTAATGAATTTTGTATACATGTTTATGGAATGATGAAATCAACTAAAGGAGGCATGTTCATAACAGTGTTTATTATCAGGAGCTATCTCCCGGGGTGGGAGGGAGGGAGATTAACTTGCTACAGTTATGAATGGATAACATCACTTAAAAAGTTTAATACACTGTTCATGTGAGCACTTACCTGGAGTATTAGATCTGTACACTGATGAGCGTCTCCTGATATCACTTACTTTTCTCCTTGTGAACAGTTTACTGGTGCCATGCTGAAGAGAAAGACATCAAAGTGATAACATGAATGAAGTCTTAAAATATAAGATATTTTTACTTCAATATAATCTAAAGACTACATTGTGCATCTTTTGTAATTCTGTCTCTTGTCATGATAAACACTGAAATAGCATGTTAAACAGTTGCCTATACTTTAATATAATCAGTTGGGGAAAACTGGCCTTTTCCTTCCACTTTATGATTGTTCCTTGAAAGGTAAATTGCTAATTTTATACTGTGTAATTCTGTTCTTCACAAAATAGGTTTCACTGTTGTGTATTAAAACTGTTGGTCAGAAAATGATCTGCTATTCAAGTAAGTTTGCTTTACTGTTTTCTTTAAAAAATATTTTAACATGCCTTATTTATTGTTGTCATATTAACAAATAAAGAGCTAATACAGATGAAATTTTCATTTTTTGACAGATATACCTTGCATAACTAATCTTTAGTATGGGATGATTTTGATATTATCTTTGGAGTTTTGCACTGGATATTTTAAAAAATATATTGGCACAATGTATTGGAAGAAAATAAGTAGTATCTGGTTTAATTTTTAATATTTGGGGACATTTTTTAAATCGATGTTTCAATTAGACGAAAAATTCTTTATATTTTTTATTTACTTTTTAAAAGAAACATCTGTCAGAGTAATGTTCATTCCAAACTGATGTTTGTGTGGATTTGCTTGTATTTTTTCATGAAATTAGAATAGAGTTTCTTTGAATAAAGGAGGAAAAAAAATATTTGGATCCATTTATATGAGGCTAAAGGTGATCCATCCAGTGTAAGAATAACCACAGTGTATGAGCTAAAGGGAAAAAAGAAAATTTCTCCTTTATATTCTTAAGAAGCTTTAAAAGAGCAATTCAGAGGATATCAATGATAACTGCTACTCTGTCAGTCATTGTCTCTATATGCAGTAAAATTTTATGGTCCCTTTAATAGTAAAATAAAAGAATTCACCACAGTTCTCCAAAATATTTTTTTCCTTGGACATGAAAATTTTTGATGCTATTCTATTTTTGTTCTTATTATAGCTTAATTATATGCTATTAAACTCTCTAGGATGTATCTAAATCTTTCCTTTGCTTTTTTCTCCTAATCCCTCTAGGTAGATAAATCTGTACTCTCACATAAAATGTATTTAATTTTTGGAAAATTTAATGCTATAGTAAATCAGGTGTATGAGTTAATCAGACCACTTTGATTCTTTAAGTTTTCACAATTTACTTTTTCCACATGTAATTTTGGAAAAAATAATTACCAATTAACTGATAATAAGCACGCTGTCCTCTGCTGTAAAAAGTCTGAATAGATACTGTGTATGTTTTTATGTCCATGAACTTGAGCTACTCGTGTGCAATTATGTGTATGGGAATGGAGTAGTGTTCATGATTTGTATCAACATCATCATATGGATGTATATTTATTAATAAAGTCATTACTTTAAAACCAATTATGCTTAGTATACTTATTTTTTAGTATGGTACTTTTCAAGTAGAAAAATGGTAAATGGTCCATTTTCATGACTGTGGGTCTTCTTTTCATAGAATTTTGCTTTCCGAAATCTGCCTCTTTATATGTTGTTATTTTAAAAAATTTTTCTTAAACTAGTATATTTATAATTTAAAATCCTAACAACTGGATCTAGATTTCTTTCCTATTATTTTTTTTTTTTTGAGTTGGAGTCTCACTCTGTCGCCCAGACTGGAGTGCAGTGGCCGCTCCCGGCCACCGCTGCC